TGTATATATATTTAAATATGAACATATTTATATATTTATGTAACACTTACAAACATAGATACATGTATCTATATACGGACTCATAAACTCAGTCATATATATCCGACTGCGTGTGCATTTAATAGTGACTGCTACTGAAGATTACAATAGGTATACACCAGACATAAATTGTCGTTTTTCTCTGCACACACGTGCAGGCGAGTGGTATTTGATGGGGCGACGGTCGATGATCTGTGTTTGGACTTCACACTGCCGGGCCATCCATCCATTGAATTGGTTCCCGACGGAAAGAATGTGGCAGTCACATCCGACAACGTGACCGACTATGTAGAGGCTGTCGTACAGTACACACTCGTAGACGGCGTCCGAGAGCAGATGATGGCCATGAGGTAGGTTGTGCAGGCGAGTGGTTAGTGGTTTTTCTGTTGGATGGGGATATATGTGTTAGTATGTTTGCAATTTCTACTCTGAGTGCGTTTCTGTATTGGTATCTAAATATGCTGCATACATACATTACCGCTTAGTGGTTTACTATAATGCTATATGTAAACACTAGTTTTCAAGTTTTTACTAAAAATTATACTTGCTCTTTTTGGATGTTCGGTATTTGTGTGCTCATGCATTCATACACCGCATTCCCTCGCAGCCACAGGATGGCAGGAGTGTCAATCAACCATGTTACTTCCTTCTAATCTTGATTGTCTCATTTCTCTGTGTGGTTTGCTAACTATCCATATACTGACTGCCGCTTTCCTCGCAGACACGTGATGGCAGGAGTGTTAATCAGCCATGTTTCGTCCTTCTAATCTTGATTGTCTCATGTCGCTGTGTGGTTTGCTGACTATCTATATACTGTCTTGCGCTTTCCCTCGCTGACACGTGATGGTTTGCTTACTATCTATATCCTGTCTACCGCTTTCCTCGCAGACGCGTGACGGCAGCAGTGTTAATCAGCCATGTTACTTCCTTCTAATCTTGATTGTCTCACGTCTGTGTGTGGTTTGCTTACTATCTATATCCTATCTACCGCTTTCCTTCTTGATTGTCTCATGTCTCTGTATGGTTTGCTTACTATCTATACACTGTCTACCGCTTTCCTAGGCGCGGCTTTGCAAGTGTGCTGCCCCTGCCGACTGTGTCCTTGTTCTCCGCAGAGGAACTGTCCCTTCTGCTCTGCGGCGCAACCGAAACCTGGACTTTAGACATGCTGCACAGAGTGGTGAAACCCGACCACGGCTATACGCACAGCAGGTGTGTACGTACGTCGACTAGATACAGTTGTACGATAGTGAGTTGTATATACAGAAAAGAAAGGACTGAATATTGAGTGGGAAGTTGGTTATTATACGGTAGCAAACCCTGTTGAAGGTCACTAACACAACAGGGTTTTCGTGCGTCGACTAAAAGTAGTTTGAAGACATCGAGTTGTATAAATACAAAAAGTCAGTAAGTCGATTAGGAAGTTGATTCTCATACGGTAGTAGATACTTAGAAATATACATAAATATATACATATATATACAAACATACATACCTACATGCATGCATACATACATACATACATACATACATACATACATACATACATACATACATACATACATACATACATACATACATACATACATACATACATACATACATACATACATACATACATACATACATACATACATACATACATACATACATACATACATACATACANACATACATACATA